TGTCCAAGACCTCATCGAACCTGGCCTTGAACATCCCCAGGGAGGGGGCAGCCACGGCCTTTCTGGGCAATCTGTTCCAGAGTCTTGCCACCCAACTGTCTTGGCAGTTACACGATGGAGAAACGACAAAAGTAACTGGAGACAGAAGTGCCGTATTTTTTCCCTTCACATATGTAAGGTTCTCAATACTTGACATATTTGTCTGTTTATGTGATTGTAAGTACGTTTTCTGCATGTTGCTGAAAGCTCTCTTTTTTCCATTTTCCCCAGGAAAGTGGGTCATGCCAGAGACTTCAAAAACTTAGGAAAACTCCTTCTCATTTTTATGCGTTCTTTATAGGAAGAAGCAAACTTTAGTCATTCTCTATACTGATGATAAGAAATATCTTTTTTCTTTTGTTTTTGCAAAAAGACTAGGTAATCCTTTTATAATCAGTAGTAACATTTCCTTCTTTATTTTACTAGTTATTGGACAGCCTGCGAAGAGTAAGCGTCCAAAAGAACCTGGGGAAAACAAAATTAAGCCTGTTAACAAAAAAGTAAGACCCAAACCCCCCAAAATGAAGGAGAGAGAATCTGCTGACTCCTCTTTGAAGGCCCAGTCCATACTGACACAGGTGATGGATAAAGGCCGTTTCCAGAAACTTGCTGCCACTTTAAGCCTGTCTGCAGGACAAAGCATAGAACTGCGATGTAAAGGGAGTAATGTTACTTGGAACTATCCTTCATACTTAGACACCTTTAAAGACTCGAGACTCAGGTAAGCTGGTTTTGAGGGGAAAAAAACCCCAACACTTTTAACACCATTGGGTTTTTTTGTTAGTTTTTTTTTTATTTAAAATGTTTTTGCAGTTAAGGTCTTCTGCTTAGTAGTTTTCTAATGTCAAAAGAAGAATGAGCATCTTTCGTTCCTTACCAAGTACTACCCTGTGATTTGCACTGTGGAATAGTGTCATAGTATGTGAACTGCATTTGCATCGGATGAATCTAAAACAGAAGATGTGATAGATCCAGTAGGGCATTGGTGTGCTCCAACAACTAACGGGGAACCACATTAAAGCTAATACAAAGTAAAACTCTCAAAACTTGTGAGTGTGGGTGCCAGGTGCTTGCTACTAGCTGTTGCTGCACAGAGACCTGCTCCTGGTTGCTATTGTAGCTACTGCCTGAGGCACTAAAACTAATTTCCTGAAGAGGCTCAAACAGGTGAAAAAAATACACCAACCACCATGCTAAGGAGCAAGTAAGAGTAGTCTTTACTCTTTCATTCGAGGTTATCTTTGTGTGCGAAAGGGAACTGCAAGGTTTGTGGTGTGGCAGAGTTTAATGCTGAGGATGGTCACTTTGGGTTTGGGAAGGCTTTTTCTTTCATGTGGTGACATCTTAATGGAGGATGTGTAAGTAGTTGTTACAGCAGGAAGAGGAACTGAGGACTCTTTCCTTTTGTCTGCCCTGCCAGGTGAGTGTCCTGTTGCTCTAAACATCTCCAAAACCCATCCATTTGTTTGCCTTCCCAGTTTTTGAGACTAGCACGTGCTGCCAAATGTAGATTACATTTAGTAATTTGCTTCTGTATTTGAAAGAGGAGAGTCATGTAAGAAGCTTAAGGATGTCTTCCACAGGCATTTTTTTGCCATGAAGAGTGTTTTCACTGACTGTTTTATGGAGATTTATGTGTCTGTGAAAGACAAATAGTGAGGAGATGATGGAGCACTGTGAGCGATGCCCTAAGAGCGAACTATATGGAGCTTTTCTTGGATTATTAGGTGAGAGAGGCACAGAGGTATGAGCAATGATACCAACTCTTGTTGTCCTTTTACTACTAAATTAAGTACAACTATTTATACTTTCTGAAAGTAACTGAGGTTTTCTGAATCTCTGTGATCCATTTCACTTATTTACAGGTGTGATGCTACCCTAAAATCCCTCTCAGTTAATTAATTTTTCAGATATATTCTTCTCCTTTCCACTTCTCTTTTCAAAGAGCAATGTTGAACATTGGCAGCTCTATACTGATCTCTAGGATATCCTTCTGAGATTTGTGAGCCAGTTCCCCTCTGAATGTTTATTTGCTTGTCCCCTGAAGGCTGAGGGAGTTCAAGAACTACCCTGGCTGAATAAACCTCTGCAGCTAGTGCAAGGCTTCTGTCGTTACAAGTTACAGCAGCAGCAAGCCGGTTTCTGCTGAGGTATCTCAGCAGAAATATTTTGCAGCAGTATCTCGCCAAAGAGTCTTTTGGCCGATTTGAACAAGTACTGTTTCTTCTTTTGCAAGAAGTAATGTTTTATCTGGATTTATTCCAGTAGGTGGCGTTTATCAGCTGTAAACCAGATCTGACTAATACCACAGAATCGTAGAATGGTTTGGGTTGGAAGGGACCTTAAAGCTCCTCTAGTTCCAACCCCCCTGCCGTGGGCAGGGACACCTCCCACTAGACCAGGTTGCTCAAAGCCCCATCCAGTCTGGCCTTGAACACTGCCAGGGAGGGGGCATCCACAGCTTCTCTGGGCAACCTGTTCCAGCACCTCACCACCCTCACAGTGAAGAATTTCTTCCTAATATTCCATCTAAATCTGCCCTCTTTCAGTTTGAAACTGTTACCCCTCATCCCGTCACTACATTCCCCAATTAAGGGTCCCCCCATCTTTCCTGTAGGCCTCTTGTAATTACCGGAAGACCACATATATCAATATTCAAATATTCAGGTTTTGGAGAGGACTCTGAATGCTTCTTCATTCCTCATTTGACTGTGTATTCCTGTCTTGCAAAATTAAGTACTTTTCTAGTGATACACATGGGACGAAATGCAAGAGCTTAAGGTACTTTGGGGGAAAAAAAGACATGTGTTTCCTAATCGTATTGTTTGGCATTTTGAAGTAGTTTGGGACTCTGTTGCCTCAGCAATTTACCCTTCTCTTATCTCTCAAGTATTTTTAGTATTTTAACCATATAATAAAAGTTAATAATGTCACACAAAAAAAACCCCGCTATAAGACAATTTGGCTGGGTGGTTATAACTTGGCTAAGCATTTGTTTTCTTTTGGAAGTAGGTTAGGCTTATATTTAAGAGTCTGTATTGAAATATGATGATCTTTGCTTTAGAAAAAATATTTTTAAATCAGTTATTGAAACAATAAAGCTGAGTTAGACTAAATCATAGAATCATAGAATGACCTAGGCTGGAAGGGACCTTAGAGATCATTTTAATCAACAAGTTTAAATGTAAGCAGAAGATTCCATTATTAACTAGAGAAATTAAAAACATAGATTAATAGCACACTTCAGAGTTACAAAAATAGTAATATTTTATGGAAACATTGACCACAGTTTTGTGCAGTTATATTTTCTTCACATTTTTAGCATGACTTTGGTAATTATCTCAAGATCTTTACTGTACTGCTAATAGATCCATATGAAACAGTCTGCTTTATAGAATGTCTGATATCTTCAAACACTTTTTGAATGTGTAAAGACAAAGTATAAGATAATCCCTTCGTTACTGATTAGTGAGGTGTGGAGTGAAACCCGAGCTGATTCGCTGGGCTCAGCTCTTTTACTTTGGATTTCTCTGCCAGTCTGGTTGGAGTTGGGGCACTGGTGGAAACCTGAGTTGGTAGCAGCAGTGGGGAAGTGGTTGGGGTCTGGGGAGGTGATGGACAGTGAAGAAGGTGTAGGTCATGGGCCTTGGAGGGTGGGTCAGGAGGAGGGGCAGCCACAGTGAGATAGATCCGTGCAGTCACTGGGGACTTAATGACTACCTTTCTTTTGTTCATTTGTGTGTCCCTACAGCAACAGATACTCAGGTCCTGGTTTTCCTTTAAATATTAGGAAGGATGTACAAATTCAGCTGGTCTGGTGGGAATTTTAACAAGCAAGGCATTTTACATCTCCTGTGAACTGCTAACATCCTCTTCTATCTCCAGCTGCAGCAAGAGGAGGCTTAAGGTCCCTGGCATCTAACAGAATTGCAGTTATGGGAGGCAGCAGAGATCTTCAAGGTGGAGGGTGGTGAGGGCTTCTGTAGCTCAGCTGGTTTGAGAGTTTGTTAACAGCAGAGGTCCAAGACAGGAGCTGACACTGACTCGCTGCATTCTGGTTCCAGTCTGTAGTGCTGGAAAAGGGTGTTCTAGGTTGCAATTATTTCATTATAGCATCTACATAACATGTTTTCTAGGGGTGGTTGCAAAAAGATGTAGGGTGATGTTTTGTCTCCATGCCATGTTTATCACGTTTTTAACTTGCCTGTGTGGTAAGGAGAACAGAGCAGCCTGGAGGACAATGTGACATTTCTAAGAAGGAAGAGATTGTAATTAGAAAAGCCATTTCTGTAGTGCTAGTGGCTGTGCTTTCTCTGAGTTTGTCTTTGTAGGTATACTTTAGGATCTGGTAAATAAAATATTTTTGCTTGTTGTACTAGAGAGTCTCATTTTTTTAATAGATCTGGAGCTGTTAACATATGCTAAAATTATCATATGGGAGGAGGGAAGGATGCTGAGTGAAAGGAGTAGGACTACTCTTGGGCTGTTTCTTGTTGAGCCAGAGGAGAAATCCTCTCTTTGCACTATCCTAACTGAATAAAAGCTTTGCTTTAGAGACTGGAGTGTGCAGTGCGACTCTGTGGAGAAGGCTAGAATCACGTAAACTTGGCTCCTGAGCTAAGGACCCACGCAAGCCTGCTTCAGGACTGGCTTGTTACCTGCAATGCTCTCTGGCCTTGTGTAGCATAAATACACCCCGCAGAGAACTTTCTGCCTGAAAATTTTGCCTACTGGCTGAACTGGCCAAAAGTCTTGGTGGTGTTAATGGTGAAAGGTAGCTCATGCACCTCCGGAACAGAAGGGCTGGAATGCTGTTTTGTAAGACACTGCATAACAAATGAATGACTGTAGGCTCACCCAGAAACTAGATCTGCCATATATGAGAAGGATCAGAATCCTTGCCCTTATTTTTCTTTCTTGTGCTTTATAGCAGAAAACTGCTCTAGATGAAGGCAGCCTAACTTCACATAGTCTCTGCTCTGCCTGACTTGGAGCACGGGTATCCCGCTTGCTGAAGACGAGCTCTATAAGCTCAACTGAAATGGAACTGCTGTGGTGGAAGGAGCTGGGGCAAAGAGCTGGACATGCATCACATGTACATTTGTGGGTGTGTCCAGGGGGTGTATGGACGGGAGCACCTGCACAAACGTTGAGGAAACTGTATGTTGTAGAGGGCCCAATTAGATTGCTTTCAGTGAATGCAAGCTCCTGCGGCCTTAGTGGGAGGCCAGTTGTGCTCTTGTGTAACTGAATATTTTTTTGTTCCATGTGCTCTGAAGTCTGAAAGCAAGGGATTCTTTCCTTGGGTTAAACAGTGAGACGTTCTGTTCTTCTCCTGGTGAGCATGTATTTGGGATAAGCTCTCTTTTGTCAGTATGAATGCAGTGCCTTAAGAGGAGTTAGCATCACTCCAAGAACATCTAGCCATATATACTGTCTTTTTGTCTTATATATATTTTTTTTAAGCTTCTAAACTTCGCATAGTTTTTCTGGCAAAGAAGTTCAAATAACTAAAGCTGAGTAAGAGGAATGTATGGAATAGTTTGGAGTAGTTTCCTAGTTTCTTTAAACAGTCTTGAAAGATTTGCATATACAAATTTTTATCTTGTGATATGTAGAACACAGCAAAGTTTTGTTGCTTGAGTCAGATTTCCCAGCATTAAAAATACTAATGAAACAAAAGTTGTCCTGGAAATACTGGTCAGCTGCAGGATTTACCATTTCTAATTCATTTTATATGGCCTTTTTTTTTTGCTTAACATGGCCATGTCACAAGTCTCAACACTTTCACTCTCAGTTGCCAGGTTTTGTTAGTGCATGTTTGTGGATGACTACCTCGCTGGGCTATTTCCATTGATTACTGGATAGCTTGTTCTCAGCTAAGTAGAACACACTGTACAATAATTAATTAACTCTGACCTTATTTTTCTGTCTCTTGGGATTTTGAGCTATAGTTCAGTGTCTGCATTAACGGTTAGAGGCAAAAATATTCTGGAATAATGGTTTCTCTGTAACATTGACATTCAGTACTGGATACTTCCAAAACATTTTGTGCTGATGTAGTCATGTAGCCTATGAAATGTGAACTGTGAAACTAAATAAAAATAATACAGACTAGGACATGTTTTGGATTTCTCTTCTCGTTGGGTGTGATGCGCAACAGGATCTCTTGCACGAGTAGGAATCTCTCAAAGCTTATCCAAAAACTGAAGATGATTTATAATGTAAATATGAAAACGCTACTACTCCATAATTATGTGAATACAAAAAGTGGAAGCAGGCAAGTGCATTAGCAGGTAGGAAATACAATTTTCCTGTTTGTTTAGGCAGACCTCAAAATTGCCGCGTAGTGGATGAGGGTCCTAATGGTGTCTGAGGGCTTTAACGGAAAAGATAATTCTCAGTTAGCCCTGTTTGGGTTGTGCATTTGATGTGTTCTTAAATTCTGAGCTACTGGCCCTGGCTGGAGGCTGAATGTTGGGTTACATGAACCACTGCTTATGATTGCTGGTAGTAGCGCAAACTGCAGCAGGACACCTAGGGAGTTGGAAATTTTGGGAAGTGCATGTAGCTGGAAGTCGTGGCCTCTCTGTTCAAGCAGTTACTCTGCCTGCAATGGAGACATAAGCAAAACGGAGCATTTGGGGCATACAGTCCAGTCAGGCATGTTGGTAGTACCTCTGTTACAGAGCCACATGGTGTTTTAGAGGATAAAAATTTATTCTAAGTGTGCTAATCCCAGAAATGAATTATTGAGTCAGGCATCTGCCTTACAGAATAACTGCTGCATTAATAAGAAGGAAGAGGAGGATGTTCAGAGAACCCACAGTTGACTTGAGAGTATGGGAGCTGTTCAGATTTCATGCAAGTTGTGTATTTGTCCAGAACCTGTTTGAAACACTGAAAAGAAGTTTGTTATCAAATGCCTAAAACTGGAAAAGTATTTCCTGACTTGGTTAGAATAGAATAGAAATGACCTCGTAACTTGATGTCTTACAAAGCAAACTGTGAAACCTTTGTGTCCTTCATGTGCTGCTGTGTAAAGGCAGATGGTTGAAAATAACATTTTTAAGGGCCAGAGCAGCAGTGGAGAGCATCAGTGCTGCTGCACGGCTGTCCTGACAGGGTTCCCAGAGAACTGGTACTGTTGGACCACTGCTTTTGTGATCCATCAAAAGGCAACACCGCAAACTCCCAACTATAACACCATCTCACTGCAGGAAAGAGGCAGGAAAGCAAACCTTAAGATAAAAAAACCCAACAAGATGAGATTGTAGCTGCTGAATTTCATAGATAGGTCCTTTGACCCTAAGAAACATTGTCTGTATCTACATATCTCTATATTTATAAATATTTGCACATTTACAAATCTCAATCCACTGAGAGATGCATCTGGGAAATTCAGAAGAGGGAGAAAAAGGCAAATCAAGTCGAAAATAATCACAGAGGCTGAATGTTGCACAGTGAGGACACTGTCAGTACACCTCCAGCAGTTCTCAGGGTCATGCTCTGACGTAGCTGGGGGGTCGTGAGGAAACTCCAGTGAGAGAATGCCAGGGAGGTGGCTGGGGGCAGAGCACTAGGCAGTACAAGATGAGTTGCTCGCAGAGTAAATCCCAGCTGAGGTAGAAGCTGTTTATGGTGGTGTTTGCAAGTGAAAACTTGGACCAGTATGTTAAAGGTGGGAAGGTGTTCACACTGAAGGCAGGCACAAATCATGAAGCAAACTCTTATTGAAGTATCTGCCACTTACTACTCTCAAACTACGCTTGTGGTAATACTATTGAAGCAGTGCTACAGTTAGTGGTATCAAAAAAAAGGCTGAAATGTATGCAGATTGACTTGTAGCATGGAAATACGGGATATACATGGACAAACTGAGACAAAACATAGATTAACATATTGTTACAGCAGTTATAGCCCAGTTTCAGAGTGGGGACTGAAAGGAATCCAATAATGGAATCTACAAGGCAAAAGCTTACAAGCGCTTGTGTGTAGTTTAAATCGATAAAACTACTCATGTAAACACGTCTTTGGAGCAAAAGGGGAAGTTGCTGCAGAACTCTGAAAGCAAAAGATGGGTCAGCTGCAGAGCAGGAATAACACAAACCAAAAACGAGCTGGCAAGAGTACAGGGAAATACATCTGTGCTTGTCTGTGCCTTTTGTTTTTTTCTTCTCCCCAGCATAAAGCAGCTTGACAGGTACGGTCAGCTGATCCTCGCAAACGCCACGGCAGCAGACACAGGTGAATATGGCTGCTGGCTTCAGCTGTGCAACGGTGACAAATGCAGGAAGGATGAGACTAAAACGGGTTCCACATATATATTTTTCACAGGTAATTAGCTCACTGGGGGATTATTCATGGTAATATATTTGCTAGTAAGACAGGAATAAAGCTGTGTCAGCAATTCCCATGTCAAGAATTTTTTTCTGTAGTTTTCATCCTTTTTAGTGGATGTTAAGGAAGACAGTGCTGGTGAGCAGAAAATTACTTGCTTAGTTTGATTTATGAGTCTGTTTTCCCTATGGATTGTGCTAAGTGTGTACCCAAAACAATGCATGATGCAATGGAAAACCAAATAGCTATGAAAATACTAACACACATTCTGAGGATCTTCTACAGAATGAATAAAAGAAGTCTAATTTATGAAAATATGTCTGGATAAAGAAAATGAATCTTTGCAGAAGAGGCATCTTGGCATGGCATTCAGGTGATCACATGTCCTGTTTCTCTCCCCCTGCCCCCACATGCACAATTACCTGCACTGACTTCAAAATCTTGACTTCGTTGATCTTGCTAAGGCCACAGTTTCTCCCAAGAGTCTACGTAGTGTGCTGAAAGGCAAAACACTCTTCAGAACCCGTGCTGTCCCACAGAACTTGATGTTGGCTGTAGCCCTAATGCTGCATGGGCAGGATCGTAGTAGGTAACGGTGCAGTTTGCTACTCCTTGGTGCAGCATGGCTGAAATCAGCTAATCTGTTCTCCTCATGGAAAACATGCTCAGTGGGAGAACAACCTTTGCTGCCTGATTAGAGCTAAAGCAGTCTTGGTCAGCAAATATTTCAGCACAAAATGCTAATACAGGATTGCTTGCAAAAGGTTTTGGACCTAAATTAGACCATGAGACTGTGCAGAAGCCATTTATGGAGTGCTTAATGTTCTGAGGTGAAAAAACTTTTCAGTCAAGCTATGTAAATGCTCATGCTTAAAAGAGGAATTTCAGCTTTTTATTTCTAAGAAGCATGCCAAATATGGAAATAGCCTTTACCTGTCATTCTAAAAGCACTAAATACTTCAGCTACTTAGAGCAGTAAATCAAATATTTTGCGTAAAATCATATGTATAAAAAGGAGCAGATCCAAAGAACCTCTCTTTCTACTAGTACTTATCTTGCCAGTGGTGGTGGGTTCTTTTATGTGTTACCTTTTAAAGCTGGACAAGGGAATAGAATTAGATCCAACTAAATATTAGGAAACTTATTAAAAAGGAATTCCAAAGATTTTCTTAATGTTAGGAAAATCTGATTACCATGAGATATACTTTGTTTTTCTTTTTGATTTAATATTTTTAATGCAAACTATGTCAATATATACTCAGAAAAGCTATTTTTCTTCTGTGTGTGCATATTTATAACAAAAAACTTAGGGTTAATATTTAATGTTGCTCATAGCTATTTTCTTGGCTCATAGAATCATAGAATGGTTTGGGGACCTTAAAGCTCATCTAGTTCCAATCCCCCTGCCATGGTAGGGACACCTCCCACTAGACCAGGTTGCTCAAAGCCACATCCAATCTG